GAAAGTATAAAATATTGTTATAAGAGATTGTTTCACTCCCAAACCTCACTCTGACTGCAGAAGCGATAGAGCAAGTTGATAGATTTTTCTAGATGAGCAGCTACGTCTCACCTGGAGGATATACCCTGGGTGAAGTGTCGGTGTGTATGCAAAAGGCTTGATTGACTCTTGCCAACTTGACACATCTCCAGCACCACCACCACACTGGGTTATCCGTGAGGGGGCGAATGTATGCTGCAGAGGTTCGACCAATGCTGTTTATCAGTTATGGGAATAGGAACAAGACGGACTATCGATGTGAAAAAGCCGCTGTGTGCACCACAGTGTATGATTTTGGTGGAGCAACGGAACAAGTAATGCCGACGTCAGGTGCAGAGTTTTATATTATGATAGTCACTCACCAGAGGGAACAAAAAAAAACACTTTTTTGATGATGAAGTTTCGTCCTTTATAATCGATGTTTCATACGCACTAAAATTCATTCATGATACTGACTTTGATTCGAACCCATATTCCACAATGTCTCCAGCCAACGACCATCTGAAAATTTGGGGCCCCAGTCTGGAAATCGCCGGAGTGCCCCATGGAAGCCAGAAACAAACAGTTTGCTTAACTCCCTGTACCATGACCTGCCTCAATCTGGTCTAGCGTGAACAACTGAGACACAGTAGGACAGACGTACGACGCGACCTAGATATGTCAGATGATGTAGTAAAATTATCTTACTTAACGGAAGACTATCTACTCCCCAAACAGGCAACCTGATGTTATGTCTGTATTTCTTCAATACCGACGATTGGAATAATTCGCGTATATCATACGAGATACATGGACGCAACGGATCTCACTGAAAACTTCGGGGTAGTGCTCATGATTATTGAGGAAATTAGCTTATCTTAGTGTTTTGGTTTTTTTCGTTAGCCGTGGCCAAGATAAGCTAATTTCCTGAATTCGCGTACATCTTCCGATAAACAGACACCAAAATTCTAAAGCAACACCTCTCGCCTGTTCCATCTTCAGATTAATGCTACCGCTATACATAGAATAAATAAAAACACGGATCCACAGTAGCAAATCGGATACCCAGCAACTGGGACTCAATTCTACCTAAGGTGTTCGCATTTAGAAGGAGAACTGGATGTCTCTGTCCTCGGACTTTGTTTCTGATCGTTGTTCCTGGGCAAGAGACATTCGCAAAACCATCACATTCTTTCTCAGGGAGCAAGCCGCATAAAAGCAGGAATGTAGTTGAGAGCTTATAGAAATTTTGTTCGTGTTATGCGAGAGCAGCGAAGGAACAACTGAAATCCAGTGAAACATGAGCTCTTTCTGATCAACGTCCCAGCACCGTTGGTGTGATTAGTCTTTGATTAGTCATAAAGTAATGCAGCTGATATTAATATAGAAGAACAAATAAAACCGAGGGAAGAAAAAACAACCAGGCTTACATGGCTGTGATGCGATCGATTTGTGCCTGATACGATTCCGGGATTTGTGATGCAGTAAAATCCAGGTCATTTGATATGCCCAGTTTGGTTGAAGTTTCCGGGTCGTCTGATCGAGCGAAGCTATTTATTGATCCAGATTGGTCAGTCAGTCCGAAAGATTCCTTACGTACCAACAAACTGTGTAAATAGACTTCGGAAGATTGGTCCGCATCAGGATTCGGAGCCGTGCTAGGTAACGGTTGATGAGGGGGTGAGGACTGATGTGCAATGCTGCATGTAGTCTGTGTGGGACCGGAATCGGGAGGTTTGGAGTGAACAGACGACAGACGATTCAAAACGTCGCGGTTGGCCCGGTTGGTTGTGGTCAAATTTTGTGACCATAGATTTCGTTTGGGTAAATCTTTTGCGGGAGTTCGCATCCGATCATTGAAACGTGTGGTCTGCTGGAATCCAAAAGAATCGCATATCCGAAGATCGGGTTAGGCATGACGTAAGAAATTAAAATACAATAGCATGAAAAATCAGACCAAAAAAATGAGATGAATACCTAATAGATGTCAGGCCTCGAAAACAGTATATCAGATTAGAACCAAAAGATAAGTTCTGCATTGGCTGATCACGGAAGATCTTAGTGTTTATTGAGTACTTGTACTTCTCTAGGTCTTCAAACAGACTGTAAAATGTGGTTTTTCACAGGGGTCAGCGAAGAAAACTCTAGATAACATGTATATACCAAAGATAAGCATTTTGGCGGAGGAAGTGGGGAATGTCTGATCGTAAACAATGTTGATCACTTCGATATGTTATCCAGATTCAATTCAAATGGAGTTTACACGATATGGCACAGCCCATCTTTACGAGCTTGTCGCGAGTATCAGTCCTCGCTCATCTTAGCACTAGCCTCCGGGGTTATGACTCGGCTGGAAACTTTCACAACCTGACTATTTGTTGTATGCCGGTAACGGAGGATTCGATTTGTTTATATAAATTCGTCCTGCAAATGAGGTGTGGGCTGAAAAGCTGGGAAGCGCTAGACAGCTGTTTTGACCTGATTGGGTCTCATCAGCAGTGCGCATTTAAAATTGAGTTTGTCCGGCTATCGAGTGATAGATAAGCTGAGAGGGTGGTGCCGCAATAACAGTACAGAATATAAATAGAGTTATTAAAAATGTATCCTAGGCTTAAGGAGTGTATGAAGCAATGCAGCATCAAAGCGACGTTAGACTGTTCAAACAATCAGAAATGACCAGAAAACCATTACTACTAAGTATTTTGGTTAGTAACGAAGTGGTGGTTGGGACGCATATAAGTACTTTGGTAACTTTCAACCGTATCATGTTAGTTTAGGCTCTCTGCTGCAGTTCGAAGGAGGCTTCAGGAAGGCCATCAAATGATGTGGACACGAGGTAGGTAGAACGGGTACTTCACATTACCCAAGACAAGGACGAGGGGAGGGGGCGAACAAGTTTGTAGCTAACTGAACTAGGGTACAGACGAATGCGGCATTAAACCGACAGTTTCTTTACAAGCATGAAAGCAAAACAATTGGGCAGCTTGTTGTCTGGCGGCCAGGTTATTTTAGTTGCGATCCCCTTTACTTACTTCTATCTACTTTGTATACATTCTTTAATATCGGTACGAAACTCTGTATGAATGCAATCGAAGAACCTGCACGTCATGCTTGACATCTGGTAAAATCCAGAAAAGCCTGTGAATGACACAACGTTATTGAACGGAAGCTGTATGTTACTCAGCTTTTCGCGACTTCGGGTGGTCTTCTTGAGGAGTAAGCGAATCCGTATGATTTGCCGATTCGTATACTCCGGACGAACACCACCCGAGGTCACCCAAACGTTGAGTAACACACAACTTCACTAACGTTGTGTTATTCACAAGTTCTTCTGGATATGTGTATATATATATATAAATAGTTGATTTTATTCATAGTAAAGGTGTCACTAATCAGGGAGATCAGCTTCTCTGTATTTCCTATGCTGTGATAATGGGCAACACTGGCGTTGCTCGACAAAAGATTTCGTAATGTGAAAGGTAACATTTCAACTACTGATAAGTAGTATTGAGCTCGAAGCAACATTTGGCGAGAAGCTAAACATCAACACAGGGAGATTTTCATGCCAACAGAGGAAAATCTCATCAAAAAGTCACTTTTTGATAGGCTTCTAAACAAAACGCATAAAACGCTACTGCATACCTAGGTGGGATTTATACGAAGGTTTTTAAAAATAGGAAGTTTGTTACTTGCTCTCCTGCATACGATTTTTGGGTCAAACTTGAGACCTCAACACAAGAAAAACCCATTTCGCTTTATGGATCGTGATTATTCGTGACATCAAAGTGAAGAAACTGTGTTCACAGAACATCAATCCTTTTCTGCTTGGGTTGTTCTTCTTCTCTGACGCTGAAAAACAGTCAGAGGACAGATCGAGCATTTCGGTTTCTTAAGCTTTGTTATACTCCCGGTATCAAAGAAACATGACGGGGGAACGCGAAAAGAATCCTTAAAGTTAGATGAGGAGAGGGTATGTGAAATTTTGGGTTCATGAAGAGCACAAATCCGTAAAATTCCAGCATGCTTCATTTCCGAAATAAATATGACATTTGTCGAGTTTAAATTGCAAAAACCGAAATTTTGACCACTAAATGACCAAATCACCGTATCCACCCTGCTGGTCACCCGGGGTATGCACGATCAGTACCTCTGAGCTAGAACACTGTCGCGTTCCTTGGGTCACATTCCACCCACTTATTATCCATCAACTACCCAAATTCACCTGTGGATAAAAACAAGCTGAGACATACATGTACAATCAATCTGGGAAACCACACGACAAGTGGGCCAAACCATATTGAGGATAACCAAGGCATAAACTATGCGGAAAAAGCTACTGTCTAGTAGGCTGATGAGAGCTACTGGCTGATACAACAGCCATAAGAAAAACTGTCCCACTAACAGAGGTGTATAGATCCCTGAGTTGCTTCTACATCTATTGAATGACAAACGAACCAGCACAAACCAAGCAACAAGAGACTGTTGTCCTGCCGTTGGTTGTTTGTTGAGTAAAGACTAGTTGTACACCGTAAAATAAGACGAGTATCGCCGGGGACCTCTTTTGTACCACACTGCCATGAAATTCCATGACCTGTATGAACGTAGTTAATTCTCTCCAAGGAGTCCGATGTAAGCAATTATAAAGGGCTGCATGCTCGACATGCATGACGTGAAGTATTCAATACCACAAAGGGGATAGGACGTAAGGTACCCAGTTTTCATAGCCTCATACGCACACGCTTCAAAATCCATTTGTCTGCAGGTATGCAGATTTCTGCATCAAACTTGACATGACTTGATAAACACAAAGAAACGCCAAGGGCTGTTGCACGTAATCTTCACCCGTTTGATCAGTGCGACCAACACTTAACCGAATAAAACTTATGTTGAAGACCAATGGGCACGGATTAGGCAACAGCCAAAGAAGTTCCTCAAAAAGAATTTGAGAGAACAGAAGGATTCCCGGAAGACTGGGTTTTTGAGGTCATACTCAATCTTGCTCGCCGTCCTGAGCGGCGTTGTCGCCTTGGTAGATAGCTGAAAACGTGGATTCAAGGTTTTCGTCTCCGGTTCGTTTCCGTTAACGTGAAATTGCTATCCATCAAAATGGTATTTACATTCACGCGTAATCTCGTACTATTTGTCTACTTCTTGCGTGCGAACTTATTTCGTTTAGTCAATAAAAGACTAATATATTACAGATCATGAATGAGTATGCTGGTTAGCCTTAAATTAGAGCTCATGAGACCCAGTTTAAATACCCGCATTTCTCTTCTATTGTTATTATTAGGGGAAATAGATTTTAGTCCATAAATTCGCACACGCTCCGGACGGTAGGTAGGTGACCTAGGTCCACTTTACACACCGTTATGATTGCGTCCAATCGTCCCGCATCACACCTCGGGTAAACTGGAGTGTTTGGTTTTGACTTCGTTTGTTTCTTTCTTTGATCGGAAAAACAAACAAACAAACCGCGGCCTGTGAACTGTATAAAGCTCCCGGGTGGACGATGAGAAAATGCCAAAACATTGTTTATTAAACTGCAACCCGCTGACTGAAATCTCGCGTGAATCGGGCGAGTATCTTGAGTATACTTTATCACAAAAGTTTTCGTTTTCTTTTATATTGAACGCGTTCTTTTTCAGCATTCGTTTCGAGAACACCCTATCCTTGTCCGGAAAAACGTCAAATCACTCAGTTTTTGAGAGGAATGGAAGCTAAATGATCCGTTTCCTCCAGCCAGCAAATTATATCGAGTTTGGTTGCGACACCAACCAAAGGTGACATTTATGTGGTAAACTAAAATTCCACAAGAGTTTGATGGCAGTAACAGGTTCCAGCGGACTGGTGTTTGTGCTATTGTGCTTGATGGTGTATTCGACAGGTTGGTTAAAAACCCTTGTCCCCAAGCTACATATCATTCAAAACGATAGAAGGTCTTCTACCTCTCATTGTCTTTGCTGTATAGCAAAGAGACGGAGCGCTGACGCTCACAGCCACCGGGGAAGATTGTGTAGCGATGTTTGTCGGATGACCGTCGTCTAAAAATAGTGAGCTGCATAGTATACCATGAACGAATGCATAATACTGCATCGGGTGATGATGGAACTGCTTACTTAGACGTATTATTCCCCAAAGCATGTAGAAAGCGGAGCGAAAATAAGGAAATCTCTGCGTAGCCAGAAGATACATTCTGTGAACCCTAACCAAGAACCGAGGATTTTCAGTTTAGAATAAAGTAGACCTTGATCTGACATGTCACTTGTGACAAAGATAGTGTGCATATGCATGTGATATGAACATATTTCAAAAAAAGTTCTCGTAGACAGACTACGAAAATATTGAGAACAAGAAGTAGGAAGAAACAATCGGTTGTTTGCATTGCGGGATTTCAATTGGCGAAGAGTAAAAATCCGGATCAAAGGATATCCTTGAGGGTGTATTCGAGTGACGCACAACTGACCTCGACATACTCCAATCACGACCGATCAACTAAAAACCCAGAGTATATGCAACCGATTTCGTCAATATTTAAACTAAACTTAGTACACACTGCTTTATTTTGCGAGTAGCAAACTACACAGAGTTGGTACCAAAACAACACTTACTGAGAACAATGTGCAGCTCATGACAATTGTACTTGCAGCAACAAGTAATACAGTAGATTTAGTAACAGTCACATCCGCAACATTGATTTCCACACAGTATCACATTCCTTAACACTTCACGTTCACTGCTTCCACATATCAATTTATTCACCTCAGTCTAAACGATGGATCTGACCTAAACGGCATCGGTATGAGAACAAACAGCAAGAGAGAGAAACGTACGGTATGGTCAAACATGGTTACCAGGATTTGTCACACGTTATGC